TTAAATTAAATTAATATAAAATTAAATTAATTTGAATTATAAAATTTTAAAATTATTATAATTGATTTAATTTATAATTTTCAGAGTAGAAACCTTAAGATTAAATATGAAAGACTTTCAGAGTTTTGTTTTGTACGTGGGTGCTTGGGCCATGTTGAGAGTGATTGTGAAATTGCTCACTGTATTAAGGATGTATTAAGGATGCAGGTGGTAAGATTATCTGACGTTTTGGTAGTTAGTTAAAGGCTGAATTTGAGAACGACGGCTTTGATATTTTGGATGATTTGTTCTCTAAAAATACCCAGTTTTTGGGGATTGCTAGGCGAGCAGAGTACCCACAGCAGTCTGCATTTGCAGAAATCCAAACCCTTCCAAATTTGCCCCTTTGTGGAAGCCAAGTGGTGAGTGGTAATAAGGATACCCGGCAAGTCGAGGGGGGAAACATAGAGAATGGTACAATTGACATGGACCTGAAGATTGAGATAAATCAGTCTCAAGCTGTTCTGCCTCCAATTGCTGAGGTACAGCTGGTAGACGTTCCTTTGTCGCACCAGCTGGGGGACATGAGCAACCACACAGGAAAGGGGACCACTGCCAAAGCAAATAAGGACAGCTGGAAACGGTTAGTTCGGGAAGTGGGTTCTACAGGGACCACAGAGAATGGGACTCGGAACAAGTGGCGAAGTTGTCTCACACCTATGGAAGACGAGCGAGCCCTTAAAGTGCTAATAAACAATACAGGGGTGGCTTTAGCTCACTCGGCTACAGGCCATGACCCCCTACCGGTTGAAGTATACAGTAGCATGGGACGACATATAGTGGATTGGGGACTGTTGATGTCGAGTTTTTCTATTCTTTCCGTGAAGCTAGCTAAATAGATAAGGACGTCCAGTAGTTTCAAATACTCATAGTAACCTTTTTTTTCTACTTTTGTAGCCTTATTTTTGCCCTTACAGTAATTTTAGCTACAATTAGTCGCAGATGGCCCTCTTTGCTTAATTGTCCATATATGTCATGAGCATAATTTAAATTTGTTACTAATGTTGTAGGTTACGCTTCTGTCCTTAATTTGGCTATAATACCACTGCGAGAGATTCATCTGTAATCTCCTTATATTTAATATAATTCTCTATTTCCTATCAAAAAAAAAAAACTAGTATCAAAAAGCATATCAAACTAAATATGTACAAATCATTTTTCAATAATAATAATAATAATAATAAAGGGCTCGTTTGTGTGTGCCATTTTGCAATCATTTAGCTATTAATATTTGTAATGAAGAGGCAATTTTTTTTTTTTTATTTGCAGTTTTGAAAAATGCAATTCGGTGTTCCGTATATATCAATTTTATTATGTGCTGCATTGTGCATTCACAAGTTTTCTTATGAGTTTTTAATTTTACAAATTTAATTGTATTAAATTATAAAATAAAAATTATTAAATAAG